TTGAGTGAAAACCTCCTTCCATCAGCAAGGGCATTGAAGATGAAACGTGGCTGGGTCTTTCAGCATGACAATGATCCCAAACACACCGCCCGGGCAACGAAGGAGTGGCTTCGTAATAAGCATTTCAAGGTCCTGGAGTGGCCTAGCCAGTCTCCACATCTCAACCCCATAGAAAATCTTTGGAGGGAGTTGAAAGTCCGTGTTGCCCAGCGACAGCCCCAAAACATCACTGCTCTAGAGGAGATCTGCATGGAGGAATGGGCCAAAATACCAGCAACAGTGTGTGAAAACCTTGTGAACACTTACAGAAAATGTTTGACCTATGTCATTGCCAACAAAGGGTATATAACAAAGTATTGAGAAACTTTTGTTATTGACCAAATACTTATTTTCCACCATAATTTGCAAATAAATTCATTAAAAATCCTACAATGTGATTTTCTGGATTTTTTTTTCTCATTTTGTCTGTCATAGTTGACGTGTACCTATGATGAAAATTACAGGCCTCTCTCATCTTTTTAAGTGGTAGAACTTGCACAATTGGTGGCTGACTAAATACTTTTTTTCCCCACTGTATATATATCCTTTAAAAATATATATATTTCCCTTTATTACTTTCCAACCCCACCATCCCTTCCCTACTTGGAGTAAACTAGTGAACAACAATGCTTAGGCCTCTACTTCATGCTTATACATACTATATACATTTTATGGACACAGTCAATAATTATATTTTGTTTATTTTTACTCCTGAACTTCCTCCGATCATTTTCATGATGTCCATCTGGTATGCTTCTATATGCCATATCTTTCTAACTGTGCTCTTTCACAAAAGTTCACAATATATAACCTATATACTTATTATGGACTCCGCATGTCTTACACTAGTTATCTTGTTGTTATTAGTCCCATCCTTCAGCTCCATTCAACACCTCCCATCTATCTCTTAACACCATCCATATTGGATTTCTATTTGCCATATATTTTTCAACTGTACTGTGATGTTTTACAAAAGTTCTGAACCTTTCTATTCTCATTGTTTCTACAGTTTGTGAATTGAAAATAAACATCTTTGCTAAAAGTATTATTATAGTATTGATCGATTGACTATGACTTTTCAGATCACCAAGTAGTGCTATCTGCAGGGTCAGCGCCATGCAAATATTGCAATCCTTCAGCCAATCCTGGACCTATGTCCAGAAACAAGCTACAAATGGACAGTACCAAAACAAATGATCTAATGATTCTGTCTCTTCACAGCCAAATCTGCAGAGCTGGGAAGATTGTATCCCCCATACAAATAACATTCTATTGGTAGCAAGAATTTTATATAATCCGGCGTCGTTTTGCTTATCAGTTCATAAACACTATGCCATGGAATCGGTACGTCAAAAATCTCTTCCCAACTATTTGCAATCTATATGGGACGGCTGTCAATCTTTTGGTCCTTAAATGAAACTGGTAAACTTTTTTATTTATCACAATTTTCTTTAACCAATTATGTTCTTTAATGCAATGCCGACAGACAAGTTCCTTACTTTTTCCTCCTTCCACTTTCCTCTTCCATTTTTGCAGTAATGCTGCAATTATTTGGTTGTAATTTTGGGAAGAGCAGACATTTCCTTATGTTTTTGTTAGCTGCATGTGCGACATAACTCCACCATTCCTACCGATAATATCATTTACGAAGATTAAAAGAAAACATGAATCATCAGCGTACAATGACACCTTTGTTTTTAAACCCTGTATTTCTAATCCCTTGATATTATTGTTGGATCTGATTTTAATAGCCAACATCTCGATGGCAATAATAAATAGATATGCCGATAGATTGTCCAAAATTGAAATGCTCCTGGCATTTATATATAAACCCCAGTCGTACTTTATCAAATGCCTTTTCGAAGTCTGCTATGAACAGTAGCCCTGGCTTCCCAGATTTTCCATAGTGTTCTATTGTTTCCAGTACTTGCCTTATATTATCTCCAATGTATTGTCCATGTAAAAAACCTGTCTGATTAGAATGAATAATATCCGACAATACCTTTTTAATTCTATGCGCTATACATTTTGCTAGAATTTTTGCATCACAACACTGAAGTGTAAGGGGCCGCCAATTTTTTAAATGGACTGGATCTTTATATTTTCCACTTGTATCCGGTTTCAGTAATAATGAGATCAGACCTTCTGTGAGGCATTTATAATATCAAACACGATCAATATTACTGTCCAATACATGTGCACATGCATGATGTGACCGTATGTGTGTGACATTAGGACCATGCATGGAGCCAGATCAGAGGGGGACTTCAACCATCAACCCCATGCCTGTGGTGAGTGTGACCTGGAACAAACACAAATGCACTCACTGACTCTTACTGTTTTATGGCTTTTCCCAAGAACCCTGACCAGTGACTGACAATCTGGGAGCACAAGCACCGCCACTGAGAACACTAAAGTAGAACTAACTGGGAGTGAGTAAGGGCATCCCAGATGCATGGAACTAAGGATATGTAACATGCTGACTACACCGGCCACACGCGTCCTTCCGTGTGCGCTATCGCGCACATGTTGATTTTGTCCATCCACACCAGATGTGATCATGACACGCAAGTTAAAATACCAAAACCAAACTATATTAATTTGGCTGCATGTTGAAATACACATGAAATATTCATGGACATTAAGCTACCTATTGTTTTTAGCTAGTTTGTCCTGGGAGATTAACATTAGGTTGTTATTTGACCTGAAATGCATATGGTCCTCTTTTTAGCTGTTTCTTTGTAGAATTTTCACCCGGAGTCATAGAAAATCTCTACTAAAATCTCTAATCGACAGATAAAAAGGGAAACCTAGTTAGTTTTTAGTTAGTTATCTTTAATTAATCTCTCCTTGTTTGCCTTTCAAGCAATATCTTCCTGATATCCAATAAGGAGGGGACTTGAAACGCGTGGAGCGTCTCAGATAGAACCAAGTTCTATTTTAGTGCTTGGCTACGCAGACACTCGTCCACGCACGCGAGCAGTGTATTGAAATGATTGAATAACATGTATGTATACATTTATTTTGCAACACTCGCTAACGCAACATGGCTGGTGAGGTTTGCATGTAAGGGTACATAAGATGCACACAATGATATGTAAGCATCAGAGACATATGGGCCTATAAAGAATAGAGATATGGCTCTGGTATGCATTAAGCACACTAACATAAGACGCATGTGAACAAATATGTAAGATGCATAAGGACATGTAAGGACACATAAGATGCAGCAGAATGATGTCACAGCGAGCTTTCAGTGTCTTAAGGGTGGGATTAATCTGGCTTGTCATTCAGCTCTGAGGACTAAGAAGCATGATTTCCCAGGGGTCTCTACTGCTGTGCAGAATTCCCCTAGAGACCTGACGTCTTCAGAGGAAGTAGGAATGGGGGATTGAGGAAAAGAAAGAGCAAACACGCAGAAGTGAGGGAGGATGTGGGTCAGTAAATGAGTGACTGAGGGGAATGAGAGTGAGCATGGATGTAAGGGTGTGTGTGTGTGTGTGTGTGTGTGTGTGTGTGTGTTTACTAGAGAAAGAGCAAGAAAGAGCAAGAGCGTGCATATGTGCGCGTGCAAATTAGTGGTAAATTAGTGAGTGAGAGTAAGGCTTAATCCCAATACCCGCCCTTAGCCCTCTCCCTCTGTTCTGCGCAATCCCGTTAGCCCCATTGAGACAGAGTGGTATCCCAATTGAACTTTGAGCAAGGTGTAGTGCCTTTTCAGCCCTCTGGTCGGCCCTCCAAACGAAGCGAATCGAGATGCAGTCTTTCTATCAAGTGTTTCCAAAAACTCCCATGAAGCTCTGCGACCCAACCCTGGAGAGTTGCTTCAAGAATAATGGCTGGCAAGAATACTAGGATGGAAGCAAATTTAAGTAATTATAACTTCATAATGAATCATTAAAGAACATTAGCCAGCTACTGTAGCTATACATTTAGCTTGCTATATGGGTGTTTGACATTTGTATGAATTGTAGTTTGTGTTGTTTGATGTTTTAGGGACTCCTGAGCAAACCAGCAAACCAGGCTGTCATCTTGTAAAACCCTGTGGATGTAAAGAATCTACCTAAAGCATTTACTGCAAATGTAATAAACAATTTTGTAAGCTTGCCTTGCTGTTCATATTTTTATTTTTTATTTTATGAAAGTAAATCACTTGCCATTGTTCTTTATTGTAGTAACGTTAACATTCGAGATTGAAGAATGTCATGCAATGCAGCTGAAGTAACGTAGCTAACTCTTTTAATGCTTATTGTATGTCTATGGATGAGTAGCTATGTAGCTGATCTGTGTATTGACCCTAAAACGTTTGGTACATTAGTTCAGAACAGTCATTAATCCCCAAGAAATTGCAGAAAATGAAAGAGTGAAGGAAATGGGACTGTTACATGTCAAACTTCTATTATGGAATGAAAGTCCTGCTTCAGTACTACTCCACATTGAACCACAGCCAGAGGATGGGTACAGTACTACTCCACATTGAACCACAGCCAGAGGATGGGTACAGTACTACTCCACATTGAACCACAGCCAGAGGATGGGTACAGTACTACTCCACATTGAACCACAGCCAGAGTATGGGTACAGTACTACTCCACATTGAACCACAGCCAGAGGATGGGTACGTTACGAACACATTGTTGTTCTGCTGTTCTCATTTGTTGCTCGTATGGTAAAGTACATATTTGTTGAATGAGAAATATATGGAAAGATATTACTGCCGCCAGTACAGGCATTGTGAAAAACACAAGGCTTGTCGTCAATGAATTGCGTGGTAGGCTATACTTTAGCCGCTTCTGCTGTTCGTGAGTGATGCATTGATGTCCCATTCCAAAGGGTTATTTATCTCTCCCTACCACTAGTTGCTCCATTTTCAAGACACTCTCCTACACTCGAAAATGAGGGGGAGGGGTATTGGGATTTAGCCAAAGTGTGAATATGTTTCTAATGCGTTGGTGCTCACCCTGCTCGCGGCGTTTGATCTGCTGGATCTGGTCCACGGTGCTCTTGAGGATATGGCACTTATCTGGCTTGATGTTGAGGCTGGCGATGTCGCCCATGTTGGTAGACAGTAGCTCAGCCAGCTCGTCTATGTAACGACACTCCAGCTCCCGCCGCCGCTTCTCCACACTGCAGGGACACACACACACACACACAGGTTAGGTTTATTGTTGAGACATTTTCTTAACTTTGCTGAACGTGATTTTATGGCGTGTTAGCTGCAACCAAGTGAATTTCCCTTCACAACATTAAGGATCGTGAGATCAGGATGGTCGTACGAGAATAAAGGGTTACTTGACTACATATAAAGCATATCCTAAACAATATACTTCTATCTCAGGAACATTTCCAGAATTAGACACTTCATCTCTCAACCAGATGCCGAAATATTGGTCCATGCATTTGTTTCATCTAGGCTAGACTACTGTAATGCCCTCCACTCCAGCTGTTCAGACTCTACTATTAGAAGCCTACAACTTGTACAGAACACTGCAGCTCGGATTTTAACCAACACTAGAAGGCATTAGCGCATCACTCCCGTTTTTTTGTGCACTACAATGGCTGCCTGTAAAGTATCGGTGTGATTTTAAGATCTCACTCTTATCTTTTAAGGCACTGCATGGCCTTGCCCCCTCTTATCTGACAGACATGCTCGTTCCATACAACCCAGTGAGTGCGATCTGATTAACCGGTCTGCTTACGGTTCCTTCATCCAGAACCAAGGCGGGGGGCGGAGCGTTCTCTATTAAAGCCCCCCAGTTATGGAACAGCTTGCCCTGTCAGGTAAGAGGAGCAGACACCATTGATGTTTTTAAAGAACTTTTAAAACCCACCTTTTTAGCCGGGCTTTTAATAAGGTGATTGTTTTACAAATCCTCTGTTTCTGTTCTTTTATTATTGTTCTCATGTAAAGTGTGTTGCGATTTTAAATGCACTTTAAATAAAGTTTGATTTGACACAGTCCATGAAACACAAACAGAGTTCCAGAGTACAACAAAGTCAGGAGATTAAGGATTTCCTGAAGGACAGGAGACAAAGAGGTGAATGAGATGAGAACACAGCCCTGGGCTCATCAGAGAGTATCCAGGCAGACTCTGTCGGTCAGCTGCTGCAGCTGGGTTGGTACCAACGAGTGCTGGGGAAGGACGGAGAGAAGAGGAGGATCAGGGCTGTTGGATCTACAGGGACAGCGGGCCTCTCAATAATTCATGGCCTACATGAGGCCAGCATATAGAGAGAGATAGGGGCGCGGGTGGGAGACCAGAGCAGAGAGCTGCAGGAGAGACCAGCGCTGACAGAGCAGAGCAGCTAGAGAGAACAGCTGAGGAGAGGACTAACCCTGCAGCCAGATTGTTATTCTTTCACCCAGCAGGGAATCATCACCTGACAAGGGGGATGAGAGGAACCCTGCTGAGATTTTCTCTCTCTCTCACACACAGGGGCGTCTCGTTACCTTGGAGCCGATCACAGCTCCCAGGGCCGCATGGTGGGTGGGCTGGTATCCCAGGCCGCAGGGCAGGCACGCTCACACATACATACATACATACATACATACACGCGCATGCATTTACACTCAATCATGCACAGTGGATGCGCTCACATCCACATTCTGGGTTAGCCTAGCACTGAGAGCTGAGAATGACTACTAGCTCTACACTGGCCATGTGTGAGATATAAAGAGGAATACAGGGAATGACTACGGCTCAGCTTGACCTTCTCTCAAATTCCACCAATGGAAGAATACATTTTTTAGCCCGCTGAATCTGAAAGTAAGTCGCAGAAGAAATGTGGTAAACATGATAAAATATATATGAGTGATAAAATGGTTTGGATACTTGAGAAGTGAGGAGGATAGAATGGGATTGATAAGGGCTGTTCTACTGGCAGTTACTAAAACTATGTCCTCGGCATTCCCCGGCCCACAGGCTAATCTGTGTGTGTGAAGGGGAGTGAGTGCACATATAAATGCTTATGTGTGCGTACGTACAGTAACTATGTGTGTGTCTGTATTGTATGTATATGTGAGTGAGTGTGTGTTGGAGACGAGAGAATTGAAAGTAGGTCAGTGCATTGCCAAGGCTGCTTGTGCGCAGGCGTGTTGCGTGTGGTGTGTGTAGGGTGTGTGTGCAGGTCAGGCGCTGCGTGGAGTTGCTGTAGAAACTGACAGGCAGCTCTGTACTGTGCTGTGCTTTGCTTTACAGTGCTGTTGATCAGACTGCAGTTCCATCAGCCTATTGAGGCCTTGTGGAGGAGACCCTAGCTATAACTCAGCAAGACAGATCAGTCTGCTCCAGCCCAACACACACGCAACCCTCCTTGGCAACCTACAGCCACTAACACAGCATCTGTAGGGCCAAATCAGCACACATTGCCTACTCTCTCAAAATCTATCAAATTCTTACGCAAATCTCCCTTTGACATAACTGTATGATTACACAATAATTCAAGTTTAATACGTGTGTGCAAGCAGTGTGCATGTCAGGTTGAGATTCTGCACTTACTGTGCTCTTGACACAAACTCCTATTCCTCAACACCAACAGGGTAAGTGAAATGTGCGGCCATAGAAGCGGGTAGCGAAAGACAAACATGATACAAGTATGACCCACAGAAAGCAGGTGACAACTTGCCTGGCTACCCAAACTCATTGCTTCGGCCAAACGCTACGCCCACGGACGTTAGTTTTTTCTCCGCAATGAGTCTGGATCTGAGTACCTCCCTGACGATTTATAGAATGGAAATACGTTCTAGACCGTCTGATTGGTCCCAGAAATCGATGGGTTGGGCCATAGCCAGAACACCCGTGAGTAAAGGGACGTTTTGAAAATGTGTCTGCTTTGATACTCTGATTGGTTAGAGATGATCCAATCACTAATTACTTTGTTTTGTACAACACCCCTCATTTTGACATCACCACAAACGACTTCAATGATGCCAGTTTCAGACTGAAGTATGTAGTGAACAATAGAGCAGCGGAATAACTCAGTTTTGAATCGTCAAGCAAGGTGACAAGTGACGCGGTGACTGCGTGTTGTGACTGGGGTGACTATGCAAACACAGATTCACATAAAAGGCCATATCCGATGGCTGTTAGATAGGCTATACGTCTGAGGGGATGCTTCTTATTTAGTATGTAGAGTAGTGGAAATCATTTACTATTGAAGGACAAAGACCATCATCATCCTCGTTGTCAATCGTTCTGGATGAGAGTGTCTGTTAGTTCTGAGTGACTAATGTGAATGCACTGTGTTCTTACCTCTGCCCTGAGATGTCGCATAGCGAGCCCTTCCTCTTACGGGACTCTGGCGTGGCAGGGTCCAGGGCCCTTTCCCCTACAGCACTCATTCTGAGCTTCAGCACACCTGGGGAGAGAAGAGGACTGAATCAGAACCAAGTCAGGCATCTGAAGCGAATGGGACCCCTCCGATCACACACACACACACCTATCGCTGGCCTAATCAGTGTGCATTTTATCCAGCCCTGGCCTTGCCCTGCAGCCCTAACCCAAGCAGTGTTATCGGTAGTGGGTATGTGCTGGGGGGTTTAATGGGGATTTCTACGGCTGGCTACTTGGCTGAGGTGAGGGTCACAGGCATGTACTGTAACTGTAGGGGATACAGGCAGCACCACAGCACCAAACATCTAAGACTAAGACTGGTTAAATTAAAGAGGCATGTCCCGTGCAGATTTGTGGCGCTGGAATTCACAGTGATCCATCACAGCCGTTGTTAATGAAAAAGAGAAAAAATGTCAACTCATATTGTGCGTCACACTGACTGGCGTTGGTAAAGAGTCATGGAGTTTATTAGGGGTTTCCATAATGCCCAAATATAGCCCGAAGTGCTGTTTTGGCTGATTTTGGTTTAGCTGTGATTGTTTTTTCCCCTGGTTGACTCTTCGGCCTCCTATATGCTCCACAAGCAGTACGATGTCTGATTGTGGTTCAACATTGATTATGGTTTGTGTTTGTCTGCAGCCATATCCGTACTACGTATATGAGGCTGCAGACACTGTTTGGTCAACCTTGGGTCGAACGTTGTGACTACGTGGTCAGATGGCTGTGTGTAGTTGCCTCCCCACTGGCCCCACAGTGTCTGCTGTTGATTTGCAGAGCACCGCAGGATGCTACCTCTCTCTCTATCGCTCTGTCTGTGCATCAGGTGTTGTCAGTAGCTAGCTGTAGCCATGGCAACAGGACACGCTCAGGCAAGAGTCTTTCTGTTAGGGAATTCTACACCTCATCTGTCTGACTGAGAAGAACACAGTTCTAAAACAACAGCCTCATAAAGCATGGACCATACCTAACCTACATAACATACCATGGATCACACCGGTCCTACAGAATGGTAATCCATTACATATGTATAGTACACACACACACACCCATATGCACATACCAGGGTTGTGCTCAACTCTGAATTTTGGAATCGACTCCCATTCAACTCATGAGTTGAAATTCAAATTGAATTGGCCACACCCCACAGGATGTAGAATTTGAGTTTCAGTGACAGGTAGTAGAACTTAATTCAGTGCAATTCAAAGAAATGCCATTCAGTCATAGAACATGACTTTCACTGTATCTGACAGGTCACACTTCCAGATGCCAAAGAATGTATCACTTCTCTCTAGAAACAATGTTCATATACTTTTCAAATCTAAGTTTATTGGCCACATACACAGTTAAGCATGTGGGTGCAGCGAAATGCTTATGTAAGAAATTACACGTAAAAAAACAAAATACTGCAAAGTTGGCTAGGAGCTAGAAAAAGGGCAAACCGTGTCTGTCGATGCCATCTTGAATCTCATCTTGAAACTTGACCTTAGTGCTGAAAATAGCCAATTATATTTCCACCAACCATTTTATTTGTTTGGCTTATTTTTGATGGCTTTAGGGTCAACTTGAGGGTTAAACTAATGCATTCTGGGAAATGTAGTATTTTCCCCATATCAGTTTAAGTGATTAATGAAATATAATAACTTAGAATATTCACATACAGTGCCTTCAGAAAGTATTCACACCCCTTGACTTTTTCAAAATGTTGTTGTGTTACAACCTGAACTTAAAATGGAATAAATTGAGATTTTGTGTCACTGGCCTACACACAATACAACATAATGTCAAAGTGATAATAAAAAATTTAAAATGTTTACAAATTAATAAAAATGTAAAGCTGAAATGTCTTGAGTCAATAAGTATTCAACCCCTTTGTCATAGCAAGCCTAAATAAGTTCAGGAGTAAAAATGTGCTTAACAAGTCACATAATAAATTGCATGGACTCACTATGTGTGCAATGATAGTGTTTAACATTATTTTTTAAATGACTACCTCATCTCTGTACTCCACACAATTATCTGTAAGGTCCCTCAGTCGAGCAGTGAATTTCAAACAAAGATTCACCCACAAAGACCAGGGAGGTTTTTCAATGCCTCGCAATGAAGGGCACCTATTGGTAGAGGGTAAAATAAAATAAAAAAGCAGACATTGAATATCCCTTTGAGCATGGTGAAGTTATTAATTACATTTTGGATGGTGTACCAATACACCAAGTCACTAAAAAGATACAGGTGTCCTTCCTAACTCAGTTGCCGGAGAGGAAGGAAACCACTCAGGGATTTCACCATGAGGCCAATAGTGACGTTAAAACAATTACAGAGTTTAATGGCTGCGATAGGAGAAAACTGAGGATGGATCAACAACATTGTAGTTACTCCACAAAGCTAACCTAAATAACAGAGTGAAAAGAAGGAAGCCTGTACAGAATAAACATATTCCAAAACATGCATTCTGTTTGCAATAAGGCACTAAAGTAAAGCTGCAAAAAATGTGGCAAAGAAATTAACTTTATGTCCTGAATACAAAGCGTTATGTTTGGGGCAAATCCAACACATTACTGAATACCACTCTTCATATTTTCAAGCATGGTGGTGGCTGCATCATTTACATTTACATTTTAGTCATTTAGCAGACGCTCTTATCCAGAGCGACTTACAGTAGTGAGTGCATACATTTTCATACTAGTCCCCCGTGGGAATCGAACCCACAACCCTGGCGTTGCAACCGCCATGCTCTACCAACTGAGCAACACGGGACTATTATTTACATGTTATGGGTATGCTTGTCATCGGCAAGGACTAGGGAGTTTAATAGGATAAAAAGAAACGGAATAGAGCTAAGCATAGGCAAAATCCTAGAGGAAAATCTGGTTCAGTCTGCTTTCCGCCAGACAAATTCACCTTTCAGCAGGACAATAACCTAAAACACAAGGCCAAATATACACTGGAGTTGCTTACTAAGATGATATTAAATGTTCCTGAGTGGCCTAGTTACAGCTTTGACTTAAATCGGCTTGAAAATCTAGGGCAAGACTCGAAATGAATGTCTAGCAATGATCATTGTTTAAGAATAATGTGCAAATATTGTGTGTAAAGCTCATAGACTTACTGTAATCACTGTCAATGGTGATTCTAACATGTACTGAGTCAGGAGTGGGAATACTTATGTAAATGAGATATTTCTGTATTTCAGTTTCAATAAATTAGCAACAATTTCTAAACACGTTTTCACTTTGTCATTATGGGGTATTGTTAGTAGATGGGTGAGAGAGAAAAAATCTACTTCATCCAGTTTGAATTCAGCCTGTAACACAACAAAATGTGGAATAAGTCAAAGGGTATGAATACGTTCTGAATGCCCTGTACATGTTTTGCTTTCCTTGATTATTAATTTTAAGAGTTTGTCATGAAAATCTATCGTTTCATCAATATTTTATATGCATGTATATAATGACATGTTTGATGTTTTATGTATAAGATGTATATTTGTATAGACTACACCTAATATAGAATAGATGAGGCATTTTAATTTCATTGAATTTCACTGAATTCAATTCTATTTCCTTTAATTAAAATTTGAATTGCAATTCTGTATCCTGAATTGCAATTCATTCTCAATTAAATTCTGAATTGAGCACAAGCCTGGCACATACACACATCATTTGTTGGTATGGCCAGTGTCCACAGCAGCAAGTGCTCTAGTGTATAGTTCAGTGTGCTGCCTTCCTGATGGGGGGCCACTGTGACTGGCGTTATTCAGGACCTCAGGCCAAGACTCGTCCCCCCGTGTCCCCTCCACCACCACCCCCCAGCTCACTCAAGCTTTGATCCAAAGACACCGAAACAAGCCGCTATTGTCACAGCACAGAAACCCAGGGCAGTCGCGCAGCGCGCAGGACGGCCCTAATCCCCACCAGCCTCATTTCCAGCGTTTCACCTCAAATCAGAGCCTCCAACACAGACCAAAATAGCAGCCCCTTACAATTCAACCCAGGCTGGAAAGTTAGTACCTTATATACAGTCCAACAAACACAACCCAAACACCTCAGAAGTCAAAACACCAGCACCATAGACACAGGCCAAAATAAGACTACAGCTAACTTAGACACATGCCAAAACACTGCATGCACACACATCCACAAACAATAGTGTCAACAGCGACAGAAGCATCACATCTCACCCTCGGACATTGTCACAGCTGTAGCCTAAGCCTGCTTCAGGCCATCCTGCCCGTAAGCCTAGATGGGGCATAATGTATGAGACTTATACACTGATAGTTTGGTGCCAGTGGTCAATGAGATGATTCTGTTGCCGACCATTATTTACATGTTTACTGTGGTTGGTTCTCACACACACAGTGGTCTCTCAACTTAACGAACCAGATTCTCCAACACAAGCCCCAAGGCCAGCTAAATATAGTTTACAGTGAAGCCACATAACAATGTTTTCTAGACATTACAGAAATCTACACTGAAATTAGCATTTGATGTGCAGGCAGCTATACTTAGGGTCAGCCCAGTCCACTGACTGAGTCAGTACAGCCATGATGCTGCAGCTGTTAGTCACAGCACAGAGGTTTGAAGACGTCTCTCTGTTCTTGCCTACAGTACTGTATCCCTGTGCAGTGTTCTTACTACAGTATGTTCCCTATTCTTGTTCCTACCTACATCTGTATCCCTGTTCTTCCTACAGTAATCCCTGCAGTGTCTTACCTACAGTACTGTGCCCGTGCAGTGTTCTACCTACAGTACTGTATCCCTGTGCAGTGTTCTTACCTACAGTACTGTTCCTGTAGGTTCCCTCTGTACCATGTGTTCTTACCTACAGTTATTCTGTGTTCCTACTCATCCTGATCCTGTGCAGTGTTCTTACCACAGGACTGTATCAGGTACAGGGTTCTACCTACCAGTCTGTATCCCTATTCTGTGTCCCTACCTACAGTCCTGCTTGGGTGCCTGCATTATTCCAACTCACTGAGCCTATTAGCAGCATGCTCTCTCAGCCAAGGTAAATAATGAATGGCAGTGC